TCAGGTCATGATCCCAGGGTCCTGGGATGGAGTCTCGCCTGGGGCTCTCTGCTCCGCAGGGAGTCTGCTTCTCCCTCTGCCTGCTGCTCCCCTGCTTGCGCTCCCTCTCTGTCTCTCCCTCCCTCTCTCTCTCTCTCAAATAAATAAATAAAATCTTAAAAAAAAAAATCTTCTTGGCCCTGACGGCACCCCCTTCTCTCCATCACCCAAACCAGCCACACTCTTCAAACCTCTTGCCCTCGTGGGTGCTGCCATCCCCAACCCCTGCCCCGTGTTCCCTGAAACTCCCCACTCGCATGCGAGGGCCAGGAGGGCCCCGGGGTCCTCTGCACCCTCTCCTCCGGGAGTTTCCCCGCAACCCCTGCCAGCTCTCCGACTGAGGACAGGATTCAGCAGATCCAGGCAGGATTCCGGCTTTGTCTGCTGTAGGCCACGTGGATTAGGGCTGTCCGCCCTCAGACTCTCAGGGGCTCCACGAAATGCAGGGAACAGGGCCTGCAGCCGCACAGCATGGCCACGAGGGCTGAGTGTGGCCGTGTGCGGAGAGGGTGTGTGCCCAGAGAGTGTAACAGATGGGGAGTTCAGAAACCAACCACCCCATCCCGTTCCCTAAACTAAACACTGAGCATCCGAATAACCCTTGGGTCCACCAAGAAATCGAGGGAGAAATTAGAAAGAACAGCAGATTGAACAAAATGAAAACTGAACATGTTGAAATTTGTGGGATTCGGCTAAAGTGGTGGTTAGAGGCAGATGTCTAGCACTACAAGGCCTGCATCATAGAGCAAGGAAGCCATGTCAATGAGCTCGTCTCCCCCCAGCAAAACCAGGCAGAGAAAGAACTGATTATGAACCCCACTTAAGCAGAGGGGACAACAGAATAAACATCAAGAGTAGAAATCAGTGAAATAGAAAACAAAAGCAGTAAAGAGAACCAGTGAACCCACTGTGGTTCTTGGAGAGGGTCGGTAACACTGGGAAACCTCCGGAGAGCAGAGACAGAAGGCAGAAACGGCCAGTTTCAGAGCTGCGGATGCAAGTGGGGCAGGAGGAAGGTCATGGTGTTGATTGTGGTCATGGGTGTCAGCACTCACCAAACTCACCAAGTGGCCCCTGGGCCAAAGAAGAAACCAGAAGGGAAACTCATCAAATCACACACATCATTACGTGTGGCTACCCCATCCCTGCTATAGCTCCATAAAGCTGTAAACAAAACCGAAAAGCATTTTCGGGAGAAATTAACAAAGACCTACATAAAAGTCAAGGGGTGGGGGGAAGAAAAGGCAAGCAGAGGTATGGGGAGTCTCACAGAAGGTGGAGGTCCAGGACTGCCCTGCAGGGCCCGGGGTCCCTGGTGACTCCTCGGACTCGGGGTCCGGCCCCTAGGAGGCAATGCCTGCAAACAAGAAAACAGAGTACCCTCCCCAAGCCCAAAACAGAGCTGGAACTCTATCAGTGCCTGACTATATCAAGGAGCGGCCCTACCCTCTCTGAGTGACAGAATAAAAATGATTTCTCTCTGAATTACAAAGACGTCTCCCCGAGCCTCAACGTTTTCTAGCAGGGGGATCCTCATTTATCCCAAAGTTATCAGGTGTGCCAGGAGACAAGGTCCCACAAACCAGGAATAAACAGTCAACATGGACCCATGGGTCACCAGATAGGAGAATCCCTGCAATGGACCTTAAAATGTTAATACGCACAAGAACACAAGTGGGAAAAGGGAGAATTTCTTCCGGGAACGGATGTCTCGAGAGAGAGTACCAGATGCACGTTGGAGAAGTGACATCAGCAACTAAATGGATTTTTTAAAAGGTTTTTGTTTTTTAAGATTTTATTTATTTTACAGAGAGAGAGAGAGAGAGATCACAAGTAGGCAGAGAGGCAGGCATAGAGAGAAGGGGAAGCAGGCTCCCCGCGGAGCAGAAAGCCCGATGCGGGAATCGATCCCAGGACCCTGAGATCATGACCCGAGCCAAAGACAGAGGCTTTAACCCACTGGGCCACTCAGGCCTCCCCCAAGTAGATGGTTTCAACCACAGGTTCTGGAATGCAGAAAAGAGGATTTGTGAAGCGGAGCCTGGGTGAGTAGAAAATACCCAGGGGCAGGGTGGGGGCGACGGGGACTACAGATACAGAGCTGCGTGAGGGAGGCATGGTGCCCGCTGCTAACGGGGCCTGGGTGTCGCCCCGACCCAGAGCGGAGGGCTCCCAGACGATGGCGCAGAAGCAATATTTGAACGATATTGGCCAAGAATTTTTTAAAAAGATGAAAGACAAAAACCGTAGATTAAAGACATTCTATGAATTTTAATTGGCATAAGTACAAAGGAAATACACCTAGGAACATCCTAATAAAACTCCTGAAAGTCAAAATTTAAAAGCATCCAGGAAAACTGGTATCTTATTCTCTGGGTGCAACAGAAAGAGATAACACAGAATTTTTCCGCAGAAATGATGGGAGCAGGAAGAGAACGGAAGGATGTTTTGAAAGAGCTGAATGGCAAGGACCCCCAGCCTTCAGTTCTGTATGACGGTTGGGCTACAGCCGCCCCCCTGCTTCCCTGGCCCGTGGCCCAGCCGCTCCCCAGTGCCCCACCTGACCCCACACTGTGGGTTCACCCCCGTGCCCTCTCCCTGTCGCCCGCCTCAGGGCTGTGCATCTGGGCCCGTGAGGTCTGCAGCCAGGTCCCAGAGGGTGGGCTCCCCTCCAGATGCCTCCCGCACAGGGCCCAGCAGGGACGACCGCCTCCTCTCCCTGCTCCCCACTGCTCCCATGGGGGAGTCTCGGTGGGGGGGGAGGGGCCCTCTGCCTGGAGGCCCTCGGCCTCTGTGCAGGCGCGCAGGACAGGCGGCTGGAGACAAGAGCTCTCCGACTGCTTCCCGGGCGCCGCGGCTGCCGTCTCGGGCTCGTCCCAGTGCTCTGTCCCCTTCGGCTGTCTGTCCTTGCGGGGACATTTCCCTTCCGCCCCCCCGCCCAAGTGTGTCCCGTCCACACTGGCAGCAGCCGGGGCCTGGCGGCGGCCCTCCCCCCCCAGGAGCCTGCAGCGCCCAGCCAGAGTGACCACAGCCACCCCGCCTGGCTCTCCCGGATCCCGGACCCTGAGAAACGGCGGGAGATGACAGATGTTTGTCGTTTTAAGTCGTCAAGCTTTGTGGTCATTGGTCAGGCAGCCACTAATAAATAATATTAGGGCGCGGAGGGTGTGCGACCTCTGTAGCCCCAGACGTACCCCGGGGGTCTTCGTGGGGTTTGCCCATGTGCGGGGGGCCCACGAACACGAGGTTCACCCCTGCAACAGCCTCACGTCCTCAGCAGGAGATGCCACGCAGAATCCCGTCTGCGGTTTGCACCATGGAGGACACGGCAGCGGCGGCGAATAGGTCTCAGTGAGCAAATCCAGCCGTTTTGAGGAGGAAGAGGAGGGTGCGTGTGCGTGTCTCACAGACACCCGACAGCACTGCTTACGAGGAGCACAAAATCCGCTTGGGTGGAGGGGGCTGGGGGCTGGGGGCTGTGGAGGGCTCAGGTCCACGCAGGCAGGGAGGGGACAGGTGTGAGCCCACCAGCGCTGCGATTCTCCCAGAGGAGGCCCATGAGGGGAGGTGAGCCAGCCGGCAGGACGGGAACAGGCTGTGGTGCGGATGGGTGGTTTTCCCGGGCTGTTTTCCTATCTTCTGCCTGTTTTTGGTCATGAGTGAAACGTTTTTATGAAGAAAAGGCCGTTTCCAGGTAAGTTCTTCGGGATCTGGCCTCTTAGGCGTCTTTGCCTGTGCCTGGGACTCACCCACGCCCTGCTTGGGCCGCGTGGGCCTGACGCCCGGCGCCGCAGTAGGGTGGTGGGCCTGGCGCTGCCCGGTGCGGGAGAGCCGGAGCGCCCGCGCACGGCCGGGCTCAGAGGCCAGCCCGCGCCCCGCACAGCACAGAGCGGAGGCCTGGCATCTGCTGTCGCCCGATGCCATCCGGCCGGCCCGGCTGGACTCCTTGTGCTGGACGCTACGTGGAATACGTTCGCGGAACAGGGGAGGCCGGGGCTCAACGGACCCCCTGCCCACTCTGAGTGCAGCAGAAGCCGCAGCCCTGTCCGGAGGGGCTCGAGGCCCCTCAGCTTCTGCGCGCGCTGGGCCGCCTGCCCCCAGAGGGGTCGTGCCGCGGGGGGGTCCTTGCGCGATCGGCCGCGGCTCAGCGCCCGCGGCTCAGCGCCCGCGGGGGGACAGGGCGGCCCCTCCTCCGGCGTTTGGCCGTTCACCGTCCCACGGTCCTGACCGCGCTCGCGACGGCCCGGTCCGGGGGCTGCGGGAATCCGCTTCCCAGGTCACGTGCAACCCGCGGGCGCCGCGCCGGGCCGAGGCCGACCGGACCGCCGGCTTCCCGCTGCGAGCGGCCGCGTCCCGGGGGCCTGAGCGCGGCCGCGTCCCCCCCCCCCGCCGCCGAGACCTCAGCGTCCGAGCAGCGCGGCCCCGCGCGTGTCCGCGTCCGCCCGGGGGCGCCCCTAAGTGCCGGCCACGGCGGGCCCCTGCGGGGACGCCACAGGGGCCGGGGCGCGGGCGGCCGCGCACCGTCAGGCGGAAGCCGGGGAGCCGAGGCGAGCCTCCAGGACGGCCTGCGGGCTCCGCGGAAGGGAGCGCGCCCCGCCCGCCGCCCCGGCCCCGCCCGCCGCTCCCGGTCCGTCCCCGGCGGCGCTCCCCACCCAAGCCCCGCCCACCGCCCCGGCTCCGCCCACCGCCCGGCCCCGCCCACCGTTGGCGCCTGCGCGCGGCCCGTGAGGCCTGCCGGTCAGTGGGTCTGAAGTCCGGCGGCGCCGGCGTCCGGAGGTGGCGGGTTCGAGTCCTCGCGGCCGCGCCGCAGCCCCAGTGCCCGTCCCCGACGCGCGGGCACGACCGTTGCGGGCAGCGCGGCCGCGGCCTGCGCGGCGAATCTGCCGCCGCGAATCGGCGGGCTCGGCGGCGGCGGCGGCCTCGCGAGAGTCGGGCGGGCGGACGCGCGGGCGGGCGGGGGCCGGGGCCGGGGCCGGGGCCGGGGCGGAGGGGCCCGCGCGGGCGCCGCCGTCATGACGGGCCGCGTGTGCCGCGGCTGCGGCGGCACCGACATCGAGCTGGACACGGCGCGCGGCGACGCCGTGTGCACCGGCTGCGGCTCGGTGCTCGAGGACAACATCATCGTGTCGGAGGTGCAGTTCGTGGAGAACAGCGGCGGCGGCTCGTCGGCCGTGGGCCAGTTCGTGTCGCTGGACGGTGCGTCCGCCCGGCCGGGGGCGCGGGGGGCGCGGGGGGGCGCGGGGGGCGTGGGGGACACCGAGGACGCCGCGGACCCTGGCGTGCGGGTCACCGGGTGGCAGCCCTGCCGTAGCCAGGTGGTCCCCCAGTGCCCGAGCACCCAGGGCCCCCACGCCCCGCACCCGGGCGGGAGCTGATAACGGAATGCACAGGAGGGACACCGGTGACGCGGCCGTCCTGTCCCCCCAGACCTCCGGTAACACGCCGCTTCGGCCGGCTGTGGGACGGCTCGGTGCGGGTCAGGGAGCCCGCCCAGCGAGCACAAAGAAAGTTCAGTAGCCCCAAGTCCCGGGAGCTGGCTCCGCAAGCCGCCCGTCCCCGCCGCACCGCGCGGGCTGTGCTCTGGGTCCCCACCTCTGGGGCGGCGTCTTCCCCTCCGCCGCTGCCGGTGACTTGGCCCTGGAGGGTGCTGGTGTCCGTGGCGGGTCCTGTCGTGGCTGCGGCGTGACCCTCCCCAGGACGGAGGACGGGCTGTGGAAGGCGCTGGGAGGGGACGGAGCTGCTGCAGCCCGTGGGATGCCCTCGGTGCACACAGTGTCCTTTCTGCAGCCCGTGCTCCTGGGCCGCGCGAGCGCCCGGCCAGCGGGCCCTGGGAAGTGGCTGCAGTCGTGCAGGGCGGGGGTGCGGCCGCGGGGTCGGTGTCCGTTGCCGGCCTCTTCCCCGCCGCGTCGCGGACCTTGAGCTGTTCGTGGAGGAGAGCCTGGGCAGCAGTTCCGGGGTCCTCCGCTTACACGGTCCCGGTGCCCCTGAGCAAGGCCCGTGTCTCTGTCTCGCGGCCCAGCGACCTGCCTGCCTCGTGCCCAGGCTGGAGGGGGCGCTCTGTGCCGCCCACTGAGTGTTCCCGCAGCCCTAGGTTTTCGGCCGGTGAAGGTGAGGAAGCCCCATTCTGCGCCGGGTTCCCCGAGAGTCGTTACCGCCAGCGAGCGGCGCTGGACTGGCTGCTGCGGGACCGCCGGCTGGTCTCCGCGTCTTCAGTCGCGGGCGAGCGCGAGCCTTCCCGCCGGACCTGCCTTTCCTCAGGGTAAACCCACCTGGTCCTAGAGCGTTGCTGTCGCGGGCGGCGGAGTCGCTGTGCTGGGGGTCTGCTGGGTGCTGTGTGGATACCGAGGTGATGGCTCTCGTGGGACCCGTGGGGACCCGCTCCGTCCCTCGTGTTTTGGACGAGACCGTAGCGTTGCTGTTCTTGCTTCCCTGAGCGGTGGTGCCACTCACCAGTGGAGACGTCTGGGCCCAGAGGTTTTCTTTCCGGACGGTTCGCAGCCCCGAGTCCCGGATCTTGGGCAGCGTGGGCTGTAGTTCATTCGCGGTCACCCTCTCCCCGGGGGCGGCTTGGCGGTCGGATGGCGTGGTCCAGGCTTGGTCCATTTGCTCTAAGCGGCAGAGCTGTGGCTGCCCTTCCTTCATCCTTTGAGGTCTGCGGGGTCTCTCGTGGTACCCCGTTCTCTGGCCCCACACTTCCTTTCCCGTCTTCTCTCTTCCCTTTGTCCGTCCTGCGGGAAGTTGGCCGCTTCAGATGAGCTTTGCGAGGAGCGGTTGGGGTCTGCCTGGCTTCTCCCTCCCGCTCTCCGCCCAGCATCTCTGACGCAGGGCGCGTGTCCGCATGCGCTTCTGGGACGACTTCCTGGGGTGACTTCCTGGGATGCCGGGGCGAGGGCTGTGCAGCACCGTCTTGTGGGTGTGTCACACATTGTCAGACTGTCCCTCGAGTCCCTGGAAAGAGTGAGGACAACAGGAAGGACAGACGGTTGCAGGAGCCAACACTTAGGGGCCCTGTGGAAGGGCGCTGTGCTGAGCACACCCCGCACCTGCCCACGGGCCGCCCCCCAGCAGTTGGGGACACAGGCTGCAGGGGACAGGGCGCCCCAAGAGAGTCGCGGACGTGAGCAGGGTGCTCCCGCCGGCGTGCAGTGAAGCCGTCTCACAGCCAGCTGCCCCGGGAAGGCGCGGTTCCACGGTGTGAAGACGCTTCCCCAGCCCAGCCCCGCTCTGTCCCGGGGCTTGTCCTCCGGGGGGGGCCCGCAGGGAGGGGTTGCAGATGCTGCGTGGCTCTTAGCCCCAGGCTGGGGAGAGGTGGCTCCTGGGGCCGCGGCTCAGTGCTCTGCCGTCCCCCCGCCCCCCATGCCCGCTCAGGGCCGTGATCTCACGACCTGCTGACGTGGGTTCCCCCAGCTCCCAGGCAGAGGCGCGTGCCAGCGGCTCCTCTCGGGCCCTCCTCCGCTGCAGCCTCACCTGGAAGCTGAGCTTGCTTCTTGGTGCTCAAGGCCTGAGATCCCTCCCATGGGCCCTCATCGGGGGCCCACGGTCACTGTCTTCCCTGTTCCTTGAGAACTGCATAAGGACCGTTAGCACCGCGGCACACCTGGGACTCTGTAGATGAGACGCCAGGGCCATGGGGCTAGAAGCCCTGCCTCTGTGGGCTCCTGACGGGGCTCTTTCTGGCAAGCACCCATTGTGGGCCACGCCTGGCCTCTGGGACCCAGGAGCTCTGGTCCCCGAGTCCCCGGAAGATACTCTTGGACCAGCCCAGTGTGAGGCCGGGGTCCAGTGCTGGTGGTGTGAGTGCTCCTGGGGACCCGATGGGCACGGGTGTGAGGAAGGCGACCAGCCGAGAGGAGGGGTGGCTGTGTGAGGACGGCACGTGGCTCGGCGTGGCCAGACTGGCAAGTCAGTGGGCAAAGTCGGCCTGGTTGGGGCCTTAGTGGGGTCCTGAGGCAGGGTCCTGCCTCTCCCCTGGGGAGGGGCTCGGCCTGTGTGTGGCTTCCCAGCGGGGTAGGAGTGAGTGTGCGGTGCCGTGTGTCTACCCTGAGGGAGCCAGCAGCCCTCCCCCCGGCTGTCCCCTCTGCTACCGGTGGTGCCGACCCCGCTGTGGACCTCCCCCTGGACGTGTCAGCACCGCTCCCCAGAGACGCGGCCTGCAGGCGGAGGGAGCTCCAGCACCCAGCCGCCTGTGGTTCCTGCTCCCCTGGGGTCCTTTCCCCTGTCCCCCAGGGAGCTCCTGCCGTGGTTTCCACAGTCACAGCTTTTCACGGCTGCAGACGTCGGCTTGTCAGTCACGGCGTCTGTGAGCGCCGCGTTGTCACAGACAGCAGTGCTGAAGTCCTTTCCACACGCTTGTGTTGATGCGCCCCCAGCCATAATACAGTGAGGAAGGTTTGCAGCCCCCAAACCTGGACGGGGAGGGCTCCCAGGACCGGGGCCACTCTTGCTCGCTGGGAAAGGTCCCTCTGCCCTGGGGAACGGTGGGACCCGTGCCCGCCTGCCTGGCTGTGCCCGGCCCGGCCGCCTGTGACTTAGGCCTCTGAGCACAGGGTGGTGTCCTGGCCAGAGGGCCTGTTCTCAGGAGACGTCGGCTGAACTCCGCTCAAGGCCCCGGCTGGACAGGGCTGCTCTGTCTCCGACGTCGCTGCTGGCGTTTCTCGGCGCCACGCTCCATGCTGTATGGCTTCCAGAATCGGTGTTCATCCCTTCGGAACAGGGTCTTTGGGCGCGGCAGCGGGTGGAGAGGGGTCTCCGCTTAGCTCCCTGTGTCACCCTGTGTCCGTGTCCAGGCGGCGTCCCGGAGCACAGCACTGCCATCGCCTGGTCCGGGGTTTTCTGGGAGCCCCCGAGGGGCTCGTGTCCCGGACTGCTGAGCCCACCTCCAGGGCGTCTGGGGAAGGGCTCAGCAGCAGTGACAGAGACCCTCCCTGTAAGTCGGGTCCCTAAAGGCTGTGCTCAGCCGCGTGGTGGAGTATGTGGGTGAACAGGGGTGGTTCAGGGGTGCTGAGGCCCCACAGCCCGGCCTCCTCTCCCCGGTGTTGAGGTGCTGGTGTTGCTGGCTTTGGTCCCTGCGCTCACAGGGGCCAGGCTTGCGGTGGCCCCTCGGCTCCTGGGTCTGCAGGTGGCGGTGGCATGGGGCGTGGCATCGGGCCTTCTGCCGCCGTCTGCGAGGGGGCAGTCTTGGCCCGGTTGTCCCATCCTCTGGCCGCCCCGCTGGTGCGCTTTTGTTGCAGCGCCGTCCGCGAAGATTTCTGGGGTGCTGAGAAGTGGCGGGAGTAGCCTGAAGGGGTCTGAAGGCCAGACACACCCTGCCTTGGCCGTTGTGCCCACAGGCAGTCGTTCTGCTTCCCGTTCAGAGCCCCTCGGCCTCCTGCCTTAGCGGTGAGACCCGCCAAACACGCACTTTTTGTACCGCGCACGCGCACATTCCAGATTTCGTGTCCTCTAACCCAGCCCTGGCGGGTGTTGTCTGCTGGGTGCCAGACTCTGCCTCCGGGTGGCCGGCGGGCTTGCCGGGGGCACTGAGTCTGGAGGGGACCAGATCCCAGTGTGTCCTGAGAGCACCTGATGCCCTGAGGCTGCACTGGGGACCTCCGGGAGCATGGGGCAGGGGTGTGTGTGTGTGCGCGTGCACCGGCCCGTGTGCGAACGGGTCCGGAGACCACCCCGGACGGAGCCGTGCGGGACACGGTGGCCGGTCCTCCGGGAGAGGCGGGGACGGACAGCACGGGAACAGCAAGTAGAAGTCTCGGAAGAGCGGAAGGGGGTGGCCTCTGGCGGTTTGGCGAGATTCCGAGGAGGAAGGAGATCACGTTTAATACCCAACCAGAGTGCAGTCGCTCTTCTTCCTTTTTTTTAAAGGTTTTGTTTATTTGAGAGAGCGGGCATGGGGGGAGGGAAAAGCGGGGATCTCCCCAGGTAGCACCTCGGTGGGGTCTGCCTGGCGCCTTCTGTGTCTGAGCCGGGGGCGGGGGCGGGGGCCGGCGAGACACCCCTGGTTCTTGTTCCTGCAGGCGGGGCTTTGTAGGGTTCATAGTGTTTCAGTGTCCTTTTTCTTCCCTTTTTCTAGAGGCCGTATTTATTTGAGAGAGGAAAGAGGGACAGAGAGAGAGAGAGTGTGAGCACCAGCAGGTGGAGAAGCAGAGGCAGAGGCAGAGGGAGCCCAACGTGGGGCTCGATCCCAGGACCCGGAGATCATGACCTGAGTTGAAGGCAGACAGTTAATGACGGAGCCCCCCAGGCGCCCCCGTTATCCTTCTTTTGTTTTTTTAATATTTTATTCATTTGACAGAGACAGAGATCACAAGCAGGCAGAGAGGCAGGCAGAGAGAGAGGAGGAAGCAGGCTCCCCGCTGAGCAGAGAGCCCGATGCGGGGCTCGATCCCGGGACCCTGAGATCATGACCTGAGCCAAAGGCAGAGGCTTTAACCCAATGAGCCCCCCAGGCGCCCCTGTTATCCTTCTTCTAATGCAGTAGTGCAACTGTTTATTAAAAGTACACATGCGTTTTAAGTATGACAACATGGTGACGTTTCTCTTTTCGTAAATTAAAAGCTGGGGAGGTGCTGGAGACAAACAGGCCAAGGTGTGGCTGCCGTGGCCAGGTGCTTTGAGTGTGTAGGCCTTCCTCATGGTTCCCGTATGAGAAGATGGCAAATGTAGAGATCCCCAGGTTGGAAGAGGCCACCATCGCCGAAACTGCTGGGTAGGAGATGCAGAGCCCTGACCTCAGCCCTGCAGCCCCGGGTCGGGCTCTAGGGGACTGGCAGGTGGTTTGCTGGTGGTTTGGGGAACCCCTTGGTGCCCGTCCAGGTGGTTGAATGTCCTCTGGGCCCTGCAGCTCTCCAGCCCCCAACAGGCCTAGCCTGACCCTCTCCAGGCCCTTGAGGACTCGCTGCTGGTCCCTGTCCCTCCCTGTCCTGTGTGACCAGTTAGTTTCCTGAGGACAGGTCGTCTGCGGCGGTGCTCTGCTGGGGCAGCAGTAGAAACCAGAGCTCTGGGTGACAGCAAATCTATCCCCAGGTGGTGAGTGGCCCCTGTCCTGGGCACCACACTCTACCGGACAGGGTCACTGGGAGGGTCCTGAGGCTTTGGTAACCATGGTAACCACGCAGGAAGCAGCTGAGGACGCTGCCTGGCTGGGGTCTTGCCCTCCCAAGGCCCCTCTGCCCTGCCGTGGGGGTGGGAGTGCCAGGCCCCGGGCAGCAGGCTCCTGGCCAGCCCAGCCCAGCCCAGCCCGGGGCCCAGCAGAGCCCACCTGTTGCTCTTTTCCGTGTTCTCTTGTCTTATTTCTTCTCGTTGCTGACTGAACTTCAGACGTGTTTTGCTGAGAGCGTTAAGGAATCTGTGGGGGCTGCTTCGGGGTTTGGTTGCGGTCCCAGGCATGCTGGACACCATGCTTGCTCTCCACTGTCCGTGCTGCTGGCTGGCCGTGGGTGATCCGGAGGTCTCCGCTGGCCACACACGTGGGTCATGTGCTTTCCCTGGGGCCTGTTCCGGACACAATCTGGGTTCCCAGTCCTCCCAGGGCTGAGTTTCCATTTCATTGTCACGTGTGTCCTGGTCCATCCCGCAGGCCCGACATCCTGCAGCTGAGGCTGTGAGGTGTCCTCTACGCGCAGAAGCCTCTCAGCCCTCTGTGGACACGCTCACAAACGCACTGGCCCATAGGATGGCCGCGCTTCCCCGCTCTGCTGCCTTTCCTCGGCCACCTGACGGTGGGGCGCTTCAGTCCGGCAGGCGATCCAGACGGCCGCCTGCCTGTTCGCAGAGTGTAACGGCCAAGTCCCAGCCCCAGGGCCATGCAGAGCGGAGTGCATGGCCCATCCTGGGGCGTCTCGGCATTGGTGCAGGACCCAAGGCAGGGTGCCTGCAGGCCTGGCTGTGGCCACTCCTTGGGACCGGGGCCCCCTAGGCTGTCGTTCTGTGGGTGGGCTGCACACGGGTGGGTGAGGAGTGCCTCCTGTAGGCCGGCTGGCTCATAGGCTCTGGACCACAGAGGCCCACAGTCCTATGCCTGGGGGGACGGGTGCAATGACCAGCGGCCGCGGGCAGGTGTAACTCCTGTGCGAGGGCTGAGACGGGGCATGCGGAGGGCCCTGGGGCGGGTGAGCTGTGCTCTCTCTAGCTGCCACGGGCCAGCGTGTGCTCTGGAACACGTTAGAGAGTGTGGGTGGGCGTGGCCCCCTGCCATGGCTCAAGGTCAGGGCCACACGCGTCCTGGCGTGCCCGAGGGTGCGGAGGTTTGCCAGTTGCTAAGAGTGGCAGGGGAGGCCCCAGTCCTCCAGCCGTGAATGCTGATCCCACGTGTCCTCGCTTCACAAACGCCCCATGCCGTGAGGTCGGCTGGTGTAGTTCTCTCCTGCAGGGGCTGACTAATCAGTTGGGTTTGTTCTTCTAGGTGCTGGCAAAACCCCAACGCTGGGCGGCGGCTTCCACGTGAACCTGGGAAAGGAGTCCAGAGCTCAGACCCTGCAGAATGGTACTCCCGCGGTGGGCGCCCTGGAGGAGGGCAGGGTTCCGGGGGCGAGGGCGGGGGCGGGCGGCCTGCAGTGACCCTGGCGAGTGCTTCCTGAAGCGGTCGAACAGGAGTGTCTTACTCCTGACTTCTGGGGAAAGTGCCCGGTCTCGCACCGGTAAGTAGGACGTTAGCTGTGGTCAGCTCAGGGGGGGTCGCGTCCTGCCAGGCCCTCTTGGATGTTTGCGTGAGGACAGTCTCAGGAACGTCAGGCCCGGCACAGTGCCTCCTGCTGCTGCACCCTGCGTTCTGTGGTCTTCACGCGTGGACCTCGGAGACCCCGCAGCTTCCGCACAGACTCCGCAGTAAAGCATCGCGGCGCAGAGTCACACGGACTGGGGGTCCCGGCGCCTGCGGAAGTTCGCACTCTGCTGTGGTCTGTTACACGCGCGGTAGCGTCACGTCTGGGAGGTCAGTGTGCGCGCCTCGGTTAAAACTCCTCCTTGCTAACCACGCTCACCGCCGTCTGGGCTCCCAGCCCGGCCCCGTCTTCGCTGGAGCAGGTCCGGCCCCCACGGCGCCGGCTGCTGACCGGTGGCGGGTGCTGGGCCTGGGGTGCCCACGGCAATTTCTTAAAAGAAGACAGGAAGGACGCTGGTGGCACCGACGGGCTCTTCCTTTCACGAACGATTTCTCAGTAGCAGGCGACGCTGCTGGACAGCATCTGACCCACGGGAGAACTTCTTCCCAAACGGGCGTCGGTCCTCCCCAACCTGCCGCTGCGTTGTGACCCAGTGTGCGGGACAGTCTAGGTCCCTTGTCGTCTCAGCCGCCCGCACGGCCTCTCCCCCGGGAGCAGTCCCCGTGTCAGGACCGCACCTTCCCCGCTCGCCCACAAGACGCCCGCCGCCGCCTTTCAAGATTGATCGGGAGACTGTGGCCGTTCAGTCCCGTCTTCTGGCCCCGCTTCTGGCTCTGGTTCTCTCGCTGTTTCCACCACATCGGCAGGGACTCCCCCCACTCGAGACTCGGACCCTCACCGTCACCCACGACGGCTGGAATCCACTTCCTCCGAACCCCTGTGGATCTCTGACTCTTCCCACACGTCGTGGCTCTTCTCGACGGCATCTGGAACGGAGAATCCTTTTCGGGATGTTTCCATCGACTTTGCCCCGATCCATCAGAGGAATCACTATTAGGGCAGCTACAGCCTTAGGACAGGCATTTCTTGATAATAAGACTTAAAAATCAAAGTGATTCCTTGATCCGTAGGCTGGCTGTCGTGGCAGCAGGCGTGAGCACAACATTAATCTCATCATCCATCTCCGTCCAGGCTCTTGGGCGCCCAGGTGCCCTGCCAGTGAGCAGTAAGGTTTGCTGGACTTTTTTTTTTTTAAGATTTTATTTATTTATTTATTTGAGAGAAAAAGCATACGCAGGGGGAGCAGAAGAGGGAGAGGGAGAAGCAGATCCTGCTGAGCAGGCAGTGGGGCTCGATCCCAGGACCCTGGGGTCACGACCTGAGCCAAAGGCAGAGGCTTAACCGACTGAGGCACCCAGGCGCCCCCGAGCAGTAGTTCTGGCAGGAGATCTCTTGTTCTCTGAGCAGCGGGTCTCAGCAGCGGGCTGGAAATACTCAGTAAACCGTGTCATCGGGGCTGTGGTTCCGCTCGTGGAGCGCAGGCAGATAGAGGCAGGAGGACTGCAGGGGCCCAGGTGTTCAGGAGGGTGAGTGAGCGCGGCTTCCACTCCGAGTCACCGGCTGCGTCGCCACTCACAGGAGCCTCAGCCCGGCCTCCGGAGCTTAGACGACAGGCACTGGGCTCGCCTCTCCGGCTGCGGAGTCCTAGATGGCCCCTGCACGGCTCGCTCTTCGGGAGAACGTGCTTGGCCTCTCCACGGGCATGGCGGGCTCCCCTCGCACGGGTGGTGACGGAGCCGGCTGCTGCCTTAAGCCCGAGCCCGCCTGTGCCGCCTCCAGTCTTTCCCGGTGCAGGCGCGTCCCCTCGCCGCCTCCAGGGGACGGAAGAGTCGGGGCCTGGCTCCGGACCAGGCTTTCGCGGGAGGGAATGTCGTGGCGGCCGGTTTGATCTCTCCGGACCACTCAGCCTTTCTCCGATCGGCGCGAAGGCCGTCTCGCCTTCTTATCCCTGTGCTCGCTGGAGTGGCACTTTTAATTTCCTTCGAGAACTTTTCCTTTGCATCCACGGCCAGGCTCACTGTCTGATGTCAGAGGCCAAGCTGTCGGCCTCTCTCGCCTTCCACGTGCCTTCCTCTCCGCACTCACTTCCAGCTTTGATGTAAAGCGAGAGACGGCGGCTCTTCCTTTCACCGGACACCACTTGGCGACCACCGTAGGCTTGTCTAACCGGCCGAATTCCAACATTGTTGTGTCTCAGGGACCAGGGAGGCCCGAGGAGAGGGGGAGGGAGGGGGAACGGCTGGTGGGGGGAGCCGTCAGGACACACGCCACATTGATGAGGTTCATGGTCTTCCGTGGGTGTGGTTCGCCACGGCCAGAAGCCATTGCAGCAGGAACACCGAAGATCACGGCTCACAGACGACCGTAATGGCCCAAACAATGAGTAAAGTTTTGAAATGTTGGGAGAACTACCAAAGTGTGACCCAGAGACACATACTGAGCAAGTGTGGTCGGGAAAATGGCGCCCACAGCGGTGCTGGCAGCAGGGTGCCAGGAGCCCTCCGCCTGTGAGGACCGCGGCGTCTCTGCAGGACAAGACGCCCGCCTGCTGGGGAGGCGGCTGGGAGAGCTTTGCGCTCAGGGACCTCCACCCTGTGGGTGCGTGTGGGACCCGCTCCGGCCACGGCCCGGGCGTGTGGTCAGCACCTCGGACGCGTGCTCCTTCCTTCACGGCCGTGGTTTGCTCTTAGCGTGGCTCTTTCTCGTGAGTGGGGACGCCGTGTGCAGGATCTCCGTCCTTTGAAACGGTGGATGCTTGCCTTATGGCCCGGCACGTGGTCGCGTCTGGTCCCCAGGGCTCGTGAAAGGAGGGTTTTTCTGCACACGTGTGTGCATGTCCCTCGGGCCAGGCTCCTCGCGATGCTTGCTGAGTTCGGTTTGGCTCATTCTGTCCCCTGAGGGCACATGAAGACCCCCACGGTGACGGTGGGTCCCCCCGTAGCGTGGTCGGGCTTCTGTCCGACCGGGCACGCACAGACGTGGACGTGTTCCTGGTGGGCAGCCCGACCGGCTGGTGCACAAGGAGCGCTCTGCCCCCGACCCCTGGCGCTGGCCCAGCTCCGCCCACTTCCTTCCCGCGGGTGCAGCCACACCGTGTGCTTCCTCCTCGGCGGACCTGAAGGTCGCCGTGTGTGCAGGACGTTTCCCGGTGCAGAGCGTCTGCTCCCACACCCAGCACGCTGTGTCCACCGGGCTCGCGCGTGCGTCTGAGCCCGCACCGTCGTGAGAGCGGCCTGGGTGCCCACACACGTGGTGGAAGACCGCAGAAGCAGTGCATCCCGTGAGGAGGACTGACCCCTGGTGCAGTGTGAAGCCGACAGGGCGGGGTGTTCCAGGGGTGTCAGCCGAGCTCCGGGGGGAAGCGCTCTGCCGCCCGGGCAGCCTGCCGCCCGGGCAGCCTGCAGCCCTGAGACCCTCGCTGTGGGCCTCTGCAGACCCGTCCGCGGGGCTCCTGCTGGGGGATGGCGGCCTGGTGCCTGCAGGACGGCCTGACTGCCCCTCCAGCAGCCTGGGTGGGTGTCCCCTCCTGCCACGGTCAGCATCACATCTTTGCCCCCTGAGTCGGGGCTGCGGGGCTCAGGGAGGCCAGCGGGTCCAGCCCCTGTCCTGTTGCTTCTGACCAGAGCTGTCCACACAGTGCTGGGGCCGGCGCGGTCCTTCCCTGGGCCTGCGCAGTATTGCCCTCCTGTCCCCAGAGATTTCCTTCTCTCTTGGCGCTGGCGGGTGGACGGCGTTTCATCTCCTTCCTGTCACCTGGCACGTCGCCGCGGGTCCTGCACACACTGTCGAAGGCGTACTTGGCGCGTCTCTGAAGTGTTGGGGCTCCTCCCACCTGCTGTGGGCCTCGTGCCTTCCATGCCTGCCGCTGCGTCCCCGCTGCTGGGTGCTGGTGCCCCTCCTGCCCCGTGGGCACGCGGTGCACTGACCCGCCGCGGAGCGGCGCTCATGGGAGCCCCGGCCGGATGCCACACCCTCTGCCAGCTTTGGGTGCAGCCTGGGAACGGAGCTTCCGGAGCTTCCGTCGGTGTAGGTGTGTTAGGTGCTGCTTGCCGCTCTAGGAGACGGGAGAGCTGGGGCGTGAGCCGCCTGACAGCGTCGGCCCTGGTCGAGGTGCACGCTCGTGGGGCTTTGCCATGTCCTGGCCTCCGTCCCGAATGGCGCTGCTGCGCACACCTTTCCCAGGCCGGTCTCTGGTTTGTGGCAGTGGACTCCGGGTGTGGTTTGCAAGCAGGCCCACGAGAGAGACCCTGCGGGCCCCTTGTCCTCGCTCTGGGCACATGCGGAGGGCCCGGCAGGTGCCCCGCAGAAGGCAGGAGCTGGTGACCCGGGCCGTCAGCATGGAAGGTGACTGCCAGGCTGTCGGTCTCTCTCTTCATCTTTCCCACCTGGGCCCTTTGCAGTTTCCGTCTGTCTTTGGAGTCGTGGCTCGATGGGTCCTCTTCTTGGGAGACACTTCTGTCCTTTCCGTGTGTCTGTCTGCGAAGTACTCGGAGAGTGTGGGGCACCGGACGCACCGGCGGTCAGCGCACTGCCCTCTGAGCGTCCGTGCTGACGTGGGCCTCACCGGTCAGGGAGGTTGTGTTCCCGGAGGCCAAGCTGCTGCTCTGCCCTGGGGCCTGTGCTGTGTGGGGGCACCACGCGGCCGCCCTCTAGGGGCTTCCCTTCCGGCCACCAGCCACAGCCACCCGTGTCGTCTTTCGGTGACGGCAGCTGGTGGGCATATGCCCGCGGGGGGCGTCTGGGGCAGCCGGGGACTGTGCTCATGTGAGCACGGCTGAGCCGTCCGCCCGCCGCCCACGGCCCTATGAGCGCAGGACCACGC